GCAATGCCACAGACCATTGCGCTGCACAAATGTCCTCGCTGCCATTTCTGTCTTTCCCTCACACCCACTTGGAACTTCCCTTGCTATTTGTCTGTTTTCAATCACTTTCTTATCCTTCACATGCCTGAAACTCCTTTTCAGGAAGATTTGTTCCTATGGGCAGAGGTGAGGGCAGACAACACCAAAATGTGCTGGCATTTGCTTTTGCTGCTTTCTGGCTCACCGCCACCTTTAAATAATCATGAGAGCCATCTCCATGTGACATTGGCTGGCTCTCACAGCACTCCAGGTTGCATCACATCCAGCTACAAAGAGTTGGATGTGTAAGATTTGCCTGAGTGGTTCCAACTCAATCATCATCTACTGTTCTTGGTGCTTCTTCCCACCAAAAATCATTACAGGGACCATAGATCTGGGAGGTCTGAGACCAGGCCTTTCCATAAAGATCCTGATGCTTCCAGAGCAACCCACAGTGATTTTGGAGGTTGTTGTTCTGTTGGAAGTACTATCAGGGAAACAAAGTAAGGCGTTGAACACCTCCTCCTGGTGCTCCTCTGATCTTAGTCAGAGTAAATGCAGGGATACTTACGCTTTGTCATCACTGTATACATCTGAATTGTAAATTTGGATCAGAAACAGATGAGACTTCCAAAATACCTATTTATGGTCACTAAAAATAAATGTAATATATGGTGACTGTAATCAGTAATTTATTCTACTTCACTAGAAAGTGTTTTTATTTTGTTAGTCACTTGACCTTGAAGGATTGTAGAAGTTCAGTGCTAAAAAAAGATGTATTTGAATGTCTCTCAATCTCAAGTAACACTGTAACCAGAGACTGCAGAAATACTGACATCCTTCTGTTCCCTTCATTCTGAGCAGAATTAATTGCTGCATCGAAACCAAGAAAAGTCAGAGCCAGCAGTGAAATGACCCACATAGCAAACTAATAATTTAATTCAAAAACGAGATTTGGAATAATAAGATCTTCCTTTCTTAGAGAGTTAATATATTACTGTGTCATATTAATCACTGATAACATGTCTAGTAAAGTTGGATGTAATCAGTTACACATCATTTGTAGTAAAATATTTTGGAATAAGTGATCTCGTCTTATCTGATTTCATTTAGATGAGAATTTGCTTGGACTATTACTAAGGTTTTATTTCTTGTGGATCTTGAAAATTAACAGTATTTGATACAAACTTGATGGCTGACCAAATATTTCAATGTGTAAATGGAAAAAGCTGGTCAGTTCAGTGCTGAGGCCCCTTCATATCCCATCAAATCATCAAATTAGGTCAATATCCTCACAACAGGGCAGGACCAAGCATACTTTATTCCTTTTTCACCTGCAGCTTTTGGTAACACCGATTATAAACTTTGTAGAAATGCTGCATGGTCCTGAGGCACGTTGATGGAGACAGAAGCAATGGTGGCTTTGGTGTGCTTCTGCCGTAATGGTCTGATCTCTCTTCTCTGATCTCTCTGATGCAGGTTGAGGAGGAATCTGAAGTAAAATGGCAGAGCCAAGCTGAACTTTAAAAGAAGTTACAGGATGCACAGTTGGCCATTATTGGATTTTTTTTCCTTCTCAAAACTAAAAAAGAAAGTTTATTGACATTTATTTGAATATGTTATCTGTGTCTTTATAATCTAAAAAGCAGACAAAATTAAGTATGTTGAACTTAACACTGCCTTGCAAGAGCATTCCAAATGTAAGGTGACTGCCAATTTATTTAGAAGCGACGTTCTGTATTGTAAGCATGTGAAAATATCAGCACTTAGTGGGCTAACTAGTTGTCTTCTTCTTAACTTTCCTCGGCAAATAAGTTTCCTTTAACCAGTGTCTTAGGTTATTTCCATGTATGATACTCTTAACAGCTACTCAGAGGTGTGCTAGTAGTCCCATAGTGCAAGAAGAGAGCCATCAGCACATGATGTGTGAGAAGATTCGTAGTCCTAAAAAGCTATTTCCATGATTAGGATTTTTTCAGTTTCTGATAAGTGAAGTAGAATAGTTAGAAAAAAGCTTAACAAGATTGATGGTATCTGTACTGATGAATTTTTGGGTTGGGAATATTGCACGTTAATTTGACATCAGCTTCTGCTTTATGTAGCTGGGACTTGAATTTGGCTGCTTTGCTCTGGTTTGAGTAATTAGATGAGTGCTCAAGTCTTCAGATACAGGAAAACTCCAAATGTACAGATAAGGAAAGTATGGACTGCAAATTGCCCTTGGAATGAAACCTTTCCTAATGGAGTTTCTCTGTCTGAATGTCAGTATGATGTCTTGTGCTTGAGACCCTCAATGACATAAGGAAAGAATTTTCCCAGAATCAGAAAATCTGTCTTTTTACATTCAGTGTTTTGTGTATGTTGTTGTCATTTATGTTTTGTTGTCTTTAGATAAATGTAATTCAAATCAACTTAACTCTTGTATGCATTTTCCCTGAGTTACAAGATACTTTTCAATGGTAGCAAAGAAACAGATTTCCAAAACTAATGTAGTAATTGAGTGGTATCCCAGCCTGGAGCTGCCACTTGCTTCCATTAAAGCTTTGGAGTAGTTCAGCATCAGAACAAAAAAAGAAAACAACAAAAAACAGAAAACAATGAAACAATGAAAAAAATTCTGATGTGTAACTGTTGCCAGTAGTCCATTACTGGAATTAGTATTGACCCAGCATGATACCTCTGTTTTTTGCTGCCATCGTCTATGATATTCAGGTCAAGGAAGACAGAACTGTAAAAGCTGCTTCTCAATAAGACAATTTCCAGAGACAAATGTAAATATTTTGGTGAATGTTGAACGCTGATCAGCTGCTGGATTCGATGCGTGGCATTACAAAGCTGCCCTCTGGCCTTGGTAGCGCAGTGTATCTGGGATGCCTTCCCACCTTTGCACATCTCCATTTAAAAACATTTAAAGGATGTTTAGTACTTCTCCGTGCGGGTTTTGCTGTGAGTCAACCAGAGCGTGACAGTCTTCAAAAGTTCTGAGTATTTTCAACCTTCACTTTAAGATTTTAGTTTATTATTTACACATATTTAAGATCTGAATGAGCAGTTCCCTGTCCAGAATGGGCTGCGGGGTTTCTCACAGGTTCCCCAGAGCAGCAGCTCACACCGCACTGCAGTCAGTAGTGTTAATATTCATGCTGTACCTTATCAGCAGACAAACACATTTTTTAAATTCTTATCAGAGAAATAAGAATGAGTGAAAATGAACAAAATGGAGCAAAGTGCCACAAGTGTTCACACTGAACTGGAGCTGTAAAAGCAGAGAGTAATGTGACAAGAAGGGAGCAAAGCGTACCTGGAAAAATATCACAATCTCCAGCAGAGCTGTTCCTTACTTAAATCACACTTGAAATCTGGCTCTTCTGTGACCAGGGCATTTCTCACATCTGAAATATACTGTAGAAGGTAAGGCAAGGGAGCAACTCAGGCATTTATCTGGGAGAGAAGAAGCAGCAGCTGCAGCAGCCTGTTACACTTTACCAGTTGATGCAAGGAAAAATCACTGGATCTGTTTTCCTTGTTGCAACGCAAAAAGTTAAAAGTCCATTCTGAGCGGGCAGGCAAGGACACTGCCTTGGGGTATGGCAGAACCAGCCCTCTGATGTGTGCACGATCTGGTGCATTTGTGGCCATCAAGAAAGGAAAGAGAAGCACTGGGGGTGCTCTATCAGCGGCCGGGGAGCCACAGCCATCATTCTTCTGGGCACAGCTGCTGGATGGCTGAGGGAAGGGATTGTCCCACTCTGCTCTGTGCTGTGCCTTATCTCAAGCACTGAGTGCAGTTTGGGTGCCTCAACATAAGAAGGGAACAAAACTATTAGCTACAGAGATGGAGAAGGGTCTGTAAGGCAAGGTGTATGAGCTGCAGCTGAGCGCAGAGCAGAGTGGGAGGCCTGATGGCTGCAGCTCCTCACAGGGAGCAGAGGGCAGCGCTGAGCTCTGCTCTGTGTGACGGCGACAGGGCCCGAGGGAACGGCATGGAGCTGTGTCAGCGGAGAGGCAGCTGGGAAAGGGTCTGCACCACAGGGCGGTGGGCATGGAAGGGGCTGCACCGGGCACTGGGCACGGTCCCGAGCTGTTGGAGTTCAACGAGTTCGGACAGCACTCTGAGACACAGGGCTTGGATTTTGGATGTGGAGCTCAACGATCCTTGTGGGTCCCTTCCAACTCGAGGTATTCTACGATGCTACGATCCACGGTGCAGACAGACCGTAACTGCGGTCTTGTAAATCCCCACAGAGCGACTTTTGTTAGAATCACTCCCGAAGGAAGAAGGGAAACCCCCGCACTGCCGGCAGCCCGATCCCAGCAGCGGCTGTCTGTGGGGCGGCACCACGCGCCACCGTGCGGAGCCGGGCAGCGCAGAAGCCGAGCAGCCGCAGGACGGGCCCGGAGGTGCCCACCAGACCCCAATCTCCTGCCCCAAACCGCCCCTAACAGCTAGCGATTAACTTCTTAATTTTCTTGGCTGCAAAAGCTGTGATAAATTGCTCAGACTTTGTTTCTCTACTGCTCCCAAGGCTTGATTTATCGTGCCTGCGTTATCGTGAAATCAGGCTCCATTCAAAATGTTTTTCTGGGAGAACTCTATCCCCTCGCTGTTTATTTGCCCCGTCCCTTCTCATTAGCGTCACTGATCCGCAATGGCCTCGCTCGGTTCCAAACCGGCTCTCCTTGCACCTCGTCCCGCCCGCGGCTCGGAATGCCCACTGCCGTGCGGGGCCGTGGGACAACGCCGCGTCCGTAGCATCGCGAACGAACGGGCGGACACGCGGCCGTGGGACAAACCGGAGAAAGAACTGGCGACGGGGCGGGGGAAAGCTCGCTACAAGAACCGTTTGACCCCGGGCCCGCCGGTTCAATGCCGCCGCTCCAACCCACGCCACGGCGCAGCCCAACCGCAGCCGCCGGGCCGCCCGCAGCGCGCTGTCGGTCCGTCCCCCGCGGCGAGGGGCGGTCGCTGCCCGCGGGCGGTGGCGGGGCCAGGTGCGCCCAGCCCCGCGCTGCGGCCGCCGCCGGCTTATAAAGGGGGCGGGCCGGGCCTGGCGGGTGGCGCAGCCGGGACGGTAAGTGCGGATCAGCGTCCCGTCGGGGCTTCTCGCTCTCTTCGTCTTTTTCTTCTTCATTTTTCTTTTCTTTTTTTTCCCCCCTTCATCACCACTTCTTTCGCACAGCATAGAGAATGAGAAAGCATTGTGCAGTTTTCTCTTGCAAACTAATGAAATTTTGAACTGATGCTGTCTTTGTGATGTCGCGTGAAATCCGCATGCATCTGCCCACCCGAGAAATGCGGCACGCAGCAGAAGTGCATCAGAAAGAATGCTGAGATGGGATGCCGTGCCACTGGCTCCAGGTCCCTTTGCCTGCCCTGGGTCCGTGTGTGCTGGCACACTGCTCAGGGGAATGTTTCACTGCCTTAAACCCAAACCTGCTTGCAAAATCTGCAACCAGGTGATACGGGAACTAATTTGCAGTGGCATTTTGGATCATGAGCTGTTGGGGACCACAGAAGCCAGGGTAGCAAACCGCAGTGAATGGGATGTGAGCACAAACACACATCCCCACAGACACCCTGGTTTTCTGGGCGTCACGTTGTCCCAGGCTGGTGCTCTCAATAGAAAGCCAACAGCACAGAACAGAAGTTGGAGTGAATGAAACCTCTGATTTCCACAGGTGAATTGTTGCTTATTTTCCTCAGGCCCAGGACTTCATCCCCTGCAGATGTGAAGCTCCTACAACGTTCGCTCCAGTTTCCAAGGGACGCATGAGGAGATGAGGTGTTCAGGTACGTGTGTTTCTATATTGTTTATCATATACAATGCCAGCATAACTCTGCTTTGTGACACTCCAAAACTGCAAAGACATAACTGCATGTAAACCCGCCGTAAAAGTGTTTTAGCAGATTGACCAGCACTGCTAATCCAGTTTGTCTGTATCCTTGTGCAACACAGACTTATCCAGTGTCAGGGAAGACTGCTTCATTTCAGTGGGATTTCAGTGGGATAGCAAACGAGAAATCCTGCTGATGAAGCTGGGAGCCGTACCACGCTCTGCTTTTGTTCATGACCATACTGACTCAGCAGTGGCAGTGGAGATGTTTGTGTCACTAACAGGCACGCAGAGCCAGCTTAACAGAGGGAGAAAACACTGGAAAGTAATATGCTATTACCTGATCACATATTAAATTAAACTCTCACACTGCCAGCGGGACTCAAGGACTGTTTTTTGCTGTCATTCGGGACAAGCTCAAGTAGATTTCCATGAGTTTTACTTTACATAGATGATAATTATCACAGTCGTTGGCTCAGCTCATTGCTGTGGCTTTTTGCTGTTGTCAGCTGTGGCTGCACTGGGACTTCTGGGGACTTCAGTGTGGGGCTGAAACGCTTCACAGCACCAAGGTCTAACTTCTGTAAATGGAGACCTTCAGTCATTCACGTGTATTGATTTTTATTTAGATATTTAAAATCCCATTGTTTTTGACTGCTTTCATAAGGTGCCTTTGCTGCTGGTCCAAGGCAACACAGAGCTCTGCAAGGCAGGGAAGCCGGGAGCTGCCCAGGAAGCTCGGAAGCTCTGCTTGGATAAAAGCTCAGGTATGATTCTCACTGCGGAGTGCTGCGCGTTGGGGAACATCGATGGAGTATTTATTGCTGGGGAACTGAATGAGCTCAAGGAAAAGGAGTTTGGCACAGGCTTTTCTGGAAGCTGGGAAAGACCTTTCAGCAGTTATTGCAGCTTTGCTCGAAGGAAGGTTTTTGCTGTTGTTTTCACATGATTCTTTTGCCCCCCGAAGGCCGAAATACAGCTTACAGGACTCCGATTTTTAAGTTAGAAAACAAAAGCGATAGGACAAGCTCAGCAAGGCTTGAGTGATGCTGGGTGTACAAGGCCATGCAGATGTTGTTCCCAGTCTTCTGAACCATCAAACTTCCCCCTTCAAAACATGGGTGCTGTGTTCTGTGGCTCTATTCCCCTTTATATCTGCAAGGAACATTTTTGTTTCTGCAGTAAATGGAGCCCCGATTACCTGTGAGGCTGTTAATAAAAAAATATACACAGTCTCACATCCCATATCATTTAACTAAATGGTATTTTTTTGAAAAAAATCACACTTATTCTAATGTTGTTGGTTGTAAATGGGACCTACCATGGCAGCACTGCTCAGCGTGGTCAGCCAGGTTTGCTCAGAAAAGCAAAAAGTAATCCTTAGAGTGCTCACTGTAATACCAAACAAAAGAAAAATCACCTTTTCAAGGGTGTAAGATAGAACTGTAGAATGACAGGATATACCGAGTTGGAAGAGACCCATAAGGACTGTTGCATCCAACTCCTGGCTCCATGCAGCACCACCCAGAAAGTTTTGATTCTGTACCTGCGTGTGGCAGCAAACCAGTTTATGAACAGTGAGCCCAAAAGTCACTCACATCCTCATGCAACAGCCTTGGTTTTCCCAGAGCCGGCAGCATTCACATTTCTGATAGGAGTTGCTTCTAGAAGGCATCCATTTCAGCAGTCAGGAGATAATGTGATTCCATGCTTTATCTCCTTCTCTGGATGGTGAAAATACTACGTTCACTTCATAAGTTTTTTTGGTGCATGCCTGTGTTTATTTTCAAGCTGAGATTGCAGACAGGTAGTTTGTATTCAGCAGGGGCCGTGCCATGGGCTGTGCCGGCAGCCTGGGTGCTGCTTGCACCCCACAGACTCCTGGTCCCACAGTGACTCCTGGCCATGGGGCTTCCAGTCTCCTCCTGGCAGCACACGAGGAGTTGCAGTGTGAGCGCAGTGGGAGTACGGCGGACATGAGGTGAGGGGTGATGAGGAGCTTGGGGAGCTCTGGCCCGGCACTGAGGTTCACTCACCACGAGCCCTCAGCCTTGGCTGCCAGCCTCATGGACACTCTTGTCACTTACAGGCCCCTCCCCACAGGGAAGCCCCTCATGGACTGTAGGCATTTACCTGAGGCCCGCAAGGAGACCCTGAGCCCAGAGCCCGAGTCACCACCACCTCCAGCTGCCAGCAGCAGCCCCTGCCTACCCCCCGCCATCGGGCAGCGGGCCGGGACAGGCCCAGGGCGACCCGCAGCTGCCAACGCTGCACGGGAGCGCAGCCGGGTGCAGACGCTGCGCCATGCCTTCCTGGAGCTGCAGAAGACGCTGCCCTCCGTGCCGCCCGACACCAAGCTCTCCAAGCTGGACGTGCTCCTCCTGGCCACCACCTACATCGCGCACCTCACACGCAGCCTCCAGGACGAGGAGGAGTCTCCAGGAGAGTCCCTGGGAGCCCTCCGAGGAGATGGGTACCTCCATCCTGTCAAGGTAGGACAGCTAACTAGTGTTCAAATATTCAGACGAAACCAGCAATTGCAGGCTGATTTACCTTGCTAGAATGCATGCGCAGAAAGACTGCTTTAGCTGAGTATGCCAGAGCCACATAACTATGCACCTGGCTGCTGCAGGCCCGGTGGAAATACCTGGAGTTGCTGGCGTTTCCCCTCCTTCAGGGACTTTTCACAAAAATATCCGATACAGCTGAAGTCCAAGCGCAGTGGGACTCCATCCTAAGAAGGGAAATGCCAGTATCTGCTCAGTGTCCATGGGAAGCCTGGCAGACCCGCTCCAAACCCAGCACAACGTGTGGGGGAACTGCTAAGATGTGAAATGCTCTACAGCAGCCATCCCGGCCATGGCAGTGCTTGGCAATGTCTGCAAGTCTGCAGTTTCTCCTGCTGAGGCAGCCAAGATAAGAAATAAGACATTAATTACTGGCCATGCATTAATTCCTCCTGTGAAAGTGCTTTTCTGATGCTTGTATTTCACGTAGTTGGTACATGCTGCTGTTTCTCCTGCCTTCATCAAAATAGGTCCAGGAGATGTAGAGGACATGAAAGGGGAACTGCTGTTAGGAAGTACCTGTGAATGGGAGCTGTTTCCAAACACATGTGATGCTGAAATGCTGCGAGGTGTTTTCTTTGGCTCCAGCCTAAGGGAGTGAATTAGCGCACTGCTGTTTTTTTATTAAGAGGCTGATGAATTCAGAATGATTTAATTATGATTAATTCGTGAAGTAATCCCTAATTCCTCTAAAGTGACTGAGTCACAGAGACCTCCTTGTTCACGCTCTTGGTCGTGGTAAAAAGCGCGATGTGAACGTAGGCTTCCCAGCCCGTTCGAATGATTAGCAGGCTCATTAGGAAAGCAAAACCTTTACATAAATCAGAACATGGCTATAATTTAAGAAAAAAAAAATAAACACTGTGATGTGTTTCAAAATAAGCTCTCAGTAGCTTCAGTTAGCTCGCTTGGCCAGGGTGAGGGGGCACAGGTCTCACAGCACTGCTCAACGGCTGCCAACTACTGCCGGCAGAAAAAATAGCCATTAAAGCAGTTAAATGATCCAGCTGCACATTTCCCAGGCTACTGGAATACAGCAACAGTTGATTCATTCAGCAGTTATTTTTGATAATCCTATTTGCGTTTCATTTACCTGCAGTTTTGCCAGAGATCCTATCAGTCTAACCAAACTTTCTGATATTTTGGGTAGTAAATTAATGCTGTAGTTGGAACTAGAACAGAAGTGTCCCAGAGAAATCACAGTAAATGCTTCAAAAAATCTGAGCGCAGGATATGAGAAGAGCAGTGCAGATAAGGGCTGTAACAACACTCCTGTGTCAAGCACAGTATAAACGCAAATAATGTGGAAACTAAACCGTTCAGGTGCTGTTGTGTGTACACTGACCAGGAAGCAGGGTTAATTACTTCAAGTTAGGTAATGTCTCAGATGCCTTAATATAGATGAATTCATAACATCAGGTTTGCAATAAAAACACCAAATGAGATGTTTGGGTCTTTCTTAAGAGAGAACATTCTGCTTCTTTATGTCTTTAAATGGAAGGGCTGAAATCTAACTGCAGTGCTAATGCTTTGACAGCCCCCTTCCAGTTTTAGAGCTACCTTTGTTGCTCAGGAAAGGTACCAGCCTGTTCCCCCAAGTGCCTTAATTTTAAAAGAATGGTACTACTTGGAAGACCATGCTGGCTTTTTCAGGTATTTCTGCATCAAAGGGATGCCTGAAAAGACAGCATGTTGCATCCAATTCTAACAACCAAACTCAGCTTACCACGCTCAAGCTGAGCTCGTCCATTCCTATAGCAAGGCATACAGCCAAACACCCACAGCACGGCAACTCCCAGGCTGCAAGAAAAACCCTCCCCACCAGAGCAGGCAGGCTGGCACAGCTGGGTGTGCATGCAGGGGAGCCAACACTGGCGCATCCTGGCAGTGTCCCATCCAGCATCGAGGGAATGGTTTGCTTTGTTTTAGTGGCAGAGCAGCTGCAATGCAACTTGTGGTGAGACACCTCAGCAGTGTGAGTTACAATTGTTTGTTGGGTCATGAGAATTTCTAGGAACTATATCTCACAGTTTATTCCCAAAGAAGATATCCATGCTGCTGTTCCTTTGCACAGATCCTAATTTTCCAGTAAGTGACAAGACACAACTTTTTTTGGCAGTACTGTCAGATTCCTATTCTGTCATGATTCCATCACCACATAAAGCTTTGCTTTTGTCACTCAGAACTGCATTCAGACCCCAGGTGTTTCAGCACGGTGCTTGTTCTTGTCTTGCAGAAATGGCCAATGCGATCCAGGCTATACATTGGAGCGACAGGACAGTTTTTGAATCACTCAGCACAAGGAGAAAGTGCAAACCAAGGAGAAACATCAACAAATTCTCAACAGTAGTCTCCCTTTTCATTAAAAAAAAAGTTATTTATTACACCACATATATATTTAAATTTAAAAAAATATCACATCAGCAAGCCGTAATTCCTGAAATACTGTTTGTGGATCAGAAGGAATTGGTTCTTAAAGATCTCTGATACCTTATTAACTTCATGAGACTTATCACTGGCTTCCATCATTGAGGATACTGCTGGTATCTGAACCAGGGCAACAGGAGAAGGCAGCTGCTGTCAGCACTGACAGCAACAGGGGCAAGACTGCTGACAACAGCTGTTTTCATCCACCTCTGCACAGGAAGCTGATAGGTACATGACAGGAAAAAGAGACAAGGAAATGCATACTGACTAAGTGTAGTGCAATACAAGCTCTGAAGAAAAACAAATGGCAAACAAGTCTGCAAACAGCCATCAAAATAACGCGTGCCCTTTCCTCATGGTATGAAGCTAATAGCAGAAAGCCCACAGACAGCAGTCAGGTCATGCCTTTATCCTTCAGGCAGTCATAAATGCATGGAAATGGGGGCGCACATTCACTTTAAGTAAAGATGTGCTGAAATTTATTCTACACGCACAAACACAGACTGCTCTACAGACTAAATGTAGTTCCATTAATTAAGTATTACTTGTATTGATCTATAGCCTTGTGTTGCATGTGATGTGTCTATTAAGTGTTACCCCAGAACTATTACATCAAAATACACTCCTCTCATCCGGGGCTTCAGCTGAATGAGCCCTGAGAGCTGGCTTGTTCACAGCACATGATTCACTACATCATTTCCTATATTTAGGCAAGAAATATTTAAACTAAATGCACCAGTGCCATCTAATGTATCTGTTCTGTAAAACACCGTACTTTTCATATATTGTTATTGTCAAGGTAAACATTAAATATTATTCACTGGACATTATATATTTATTGAGATGCAAAATCTGTATAACTTCTGTTTCTAATTGCATAGGATGAACAGTTACTGATAATAACGTCATGGAGTTGTTTCAGTGTTAGTAGAGGAATGGGGTAATTTTGGCTCTTTAATTTTGGGAGTGCATTTATACTAACAGTTCTGAGGACTTCTTCACAACTTAAGTCTTAAAATAACACACAAGATGAGGGCATAAGATGCAGATGAAGTTTTAGGCTGAGAAAATGCCAAGTAGGATGGCAGAAGCACGGAGAAGCCACGTGGGGTTCACACATAACTAAAACCTATATGAATGGCATCAGGTCAGGGCAAAAAGAAGCGGTGAAATTAACAGCCAGAAGGCAGTGCCAAAGCTCAGCCTGCACTGTGGGCAGGTAATAACATGCCGATGAATCACCATTAGGAGAAAACACGACATGTGGTGCTGCATGCTGTTACATGCAGTTACCTGGTGCAGCAGCAGCTCCTAAATAACACACCTGGGGGGGACAGAATTCAGGAGGCCCACAGCAAAGCAACACAAAATGCCACCCGCTGGTCTGCAAAGGCTTCTTCCTTTCATGCCACTGCGAGGCTTTGGGAAGTAAGCACGTAAAACACGAGGGGACGCACGTGCGGACAGCACGGCCGGCCCAGCGATGGCAGAGGTCGGCCAGTGTGGGGGAACCGACCTTTAGCGGTCCCTTCCAACGTACGGCTCTAAGCTGCGTCCGCACGCTGCTGCCGAAGGGAACGGTTCGTCACAGGCCAGCGGAAGGACGCGGCCCGCTCCCTGTCAGCACCGCTCTGCTCACAGACACGGAACGCCCTCTGCCCGCCGCCATACGCGCACCACCGGCTCAGCCACAGCCGTGCGAGCCGCTCCCGCTCTTCCAACCCCCTCTCAACAGCCCAGAGCCGCGCCTCCAGTCACCCCGATCTCCCGCCAACCCCATCGGGACCGACTCACCGTCACCACAGCGCGACAGCGACGCAACGTTTTGCGCGTGCGCAGCTCCGCCGGAGGTGCCCGCAGGCCCGCGCGCCTTTCCCGCCCCGCCCCGCGGCGCGCGCTCTATTTAAGGCTTGCGCGCGGCTGCGCCGCCCTTTCCTGAGGCGGCACTGAGCGAAGTCGCGTCGTGCCGAGAGGCTGCAGCGATGGGTTCTACGGCCGGGCCCTGGTCGTGCGGGGCGTGGGTCGGTGGTGCTGCAGCGGCTGGCTGGAGGAGCCTGAGTTCCGTGAGGCTTGGTGGCGCACGAACCCGGGGCCGTGCCCGGCGCACGCCGCTCCTGGGAGCGGGCTGCTGGCTGGCCGGCTGGCTCCGTGCTGTGCGGCGGGCACGGGGCGCAGCGCCGGTCTCGGGTGGTTGCAGAGGGCTGTGGCTCGCTGATGCTGCCTTGCAGCTCCACGTCAATCCCACGTCAATTCAGCGCTCGATGCTTTAAGTGAGTCGCTTCTAGTTTGTTTGTTTGTTTTGCTTTTTTCTTTTAAGGCATTAAGTTATGTCGCCAGCAGTTTAATTTGAAGAGTGCAGTCCTGGCAGTGAAATGAATCCGACCTCTAAACTGAAAGCAGTAATTGTTGGCTGCGTTTACCAAACCTAAAGCATCACTTGAGGGATGAGCGAGTGCTATCAGCCTTTGCTTTGCTCACCAGAGGTGCCTGATTGCTATCAGTGGCCTCACCTCGGTGCTGAGCGGTGCAGCTCAGGCTGATGCCTGCTGGCCAGGGCAGGATTCTGGCAATGCAATGTGACCTGTGAGCTTAAAGTGGGTCTAATTGGGGTGCTGATCTCACAGGCTGCTCATCAGGCCTCTGAAGTTGTGGGGAATGAGGCACCTGGAGAGACTTGGTTTTGCTGATAAGCCACTTTGATTGGCAAGCGCATGTCCTAATTGTGAAGATAAATTACTGTTTTTCCCCAGTTTGGCTGGTGCTGCACTGTGACCCTGAGCGTGCCCTTTTTGCACAGCAGGCACAGATCCCAGAGGGCCAGGGCAGCCCGAGGTGTCTCTGTGGCAGTGCCCTGCCAGGGCCATAGCGCAGGGGCTGACCTCGAGTTCAGCTTGTAGGGAAACCCATCAATCAGTGCTGCGGAGCACAGTCCACAAAGGGCTGTCTTATTTGCTGTACTGTGCTGGGATACTCCTCTCCCTGGTGGTGGTTGTTCATTAGGAGCAGCCTGATCCTACAGTCTGTCATTCTTCATTCTGGAACTCTTCTGTTGGTGGAATACAATCTTTTTAACCTTAATTTTGACTGACGCTCTCTGCTTTTCTCCCCAGGTCCTGGTGAAGCCAACAATAGTTTCATTTCGTATTTTTCTTACTGGCTTGCTTTCCCCAGATAAACGCTGTTGCGTTTTGCTCAAGGCCCAATAGTAGAATGCTCAGGAGAATAAAACCTTTTTTCCTTCTCTTCCTTGTTTTAGGCAACAAAGGCAATTAGGAGATGAGTCGGTTTCTGGCTTCGGGAATCTTCAGGCTCGACTCTGTGCTGTTGCCTTGCAAGCAGGAAGATGTCACATGAATTGTGACAGAAGTATCTCTCACTGTTCTTAGTGGTGAGGAAATCATCCAGAGCTGTCTCCTGAAATCGAGGTCTTGATTTCTGCAGCTGTTTAAGATTTGTAAATTGTCTTACTGATGGAACAAGATATATGATCATTTGCATGAAGGGTTAAGTCTTAAACTGTCCTAGAGAGTATTCCTCAGTCAGCACAGACCAGTTAATACATTTTGAATTACTGACTGATTTCCTACTACTAAGCTTTTTACTTATATAATGACTCAATTTGTCTATTATGCAGCTCAGTTTGCCTTACCATGTACTACTGCCATGAATTTTGGAAGGTGAGGTTTTATCCGTCTTTAAATTAACAACCATAGCCCTTAAAATCTGGCCTTTTGTTCTTTGAACTTGAACTCCATGTCATTGGAGAGCTAACTGAGCTTTTACTGAGGCTAAAATTCTAAAAGGTATTATACCAGCTATAAACCTTTGCAACTGCTGTGTTGTGGGGTGTCACTATCAATTTAAGAATCATGAAGGAATTGGAAATGAGAGACTTGAGAACACTGGAGAATCCTTTTTTAACTGGATAAATAGTTTTGTGAAGAATTAACCAGATGTTAGCTGGAAGTAAAAGGCTGAAGTAGAGAACACGTCCTCAGATAGCTATCCCTGCTGGTACTTAACCACATCAGTCTGTCAGAATACAGTCAGAGTGGACAGAGAATCGTGGCAGTGAACTTCACCTCTGGGAAAAAAAGAAAAAAAAACACTTGGCATCTAAAGCCTGAATGTATCAGCAGAGACCCATGTTGTTGTGCCCTAAAAGAGCTTTTCTTTTTTTTCCTGGCTACACCAAATTTGTTCTGTGCTTAATGGTTGAAAACACAGTTCTGCTTAGATTTCTAGAAGCACATTTCTGGAGGCCAACCTAATAAATCCCCTTGCACTTGGTACCTGGGAAAATTAGCTCCAGTCTTAGGGCATGTGGGAACCTGTCTGCTGGCACTGTGATGATGATTGTCTGCCGTTTACCCAACTGATTTCTGTGATGAGTAACACTCTCTGATGTGCCAGCTCATCAGTAGGTGGCAAATCAAATGGGATAAACCTTTTGTTTCTGACTCGATTTATTCTAATCTTTCAAAGGTTATCAGATGACTTTCTCCGCTGACTTCAAGTTGTGTATAGCCAACAGCAGACTGTTGATTTCCAGAAGTATGGGTGCTTAAGAAGGTAAGTTGTTTTTCTGCTGTGATGCTACAATGCTGAGGATCCAGCGAGCTGTTCACTAGCTGGGAGAGCTTGCTAGCCATATTTGCTGCTGCACGCAGTTGTGCCAACTTACAGTGGCTTAAGATGTGGCCTGTTACTTAAGCTTTTAGACTGCTGCCTGACTTTGCAGTTCTTACTTGTGATCCTTCTACAAGAACTACAGTTTTTGCTTAAGGCATCACATAGGTAAAGCTGGGGAGAGGAAGGAGTAAAAAGTTGGGTTCTTTTTGCTGAATATTGTTCTTCTAAGGATATGTAGTCCTTATTATGGCTTAAACAGAATTCTTTTCAGAATTATTTCTGATTAGTCTGTTATGAAAATAGTTGTACTGGCATAATGATGATATCTTTGCCGTTTACCCATCTGACTGGTTGTTGATGTGTATCATTGGATCTGAAATGCCAGCACGGTTAGTAACTTCGTATAATTGCACATGAGATTAAGCTTATAGAAAAGTGGCTAAATTTGAAATGCTTTGGCTTTTTTTACAGGTTGAGAACAGTGTGAAAAGTGGATTTCTAATGCACTTGGAAATGCTTTGCTGGCCCTTCTTGCTTCTCAGAAGCACTGCTTGATTTGAATGTGCTCTGGGTGAAGTCCTGTGACTTGTAATACCATGCTGAAAGGAAGAAGTTGAGTAGGATGGAGTTAGAGTTTAGATGAAAATGTGAATAATGCCTGAATGAAGTTCAAGAGAGAGTGGAGTGAGAAGTAGCCCTTCAGACAATGTTAGAACTCGGTATGAATATTCAAGTGCAGTCAAAGTTTGGTTTCAGGGTTAAAACACAGGAAATTTTGTTTTCTTGCCTAAATTAGTCTATATAATAATGGTAGAAGCTATTCTGCTCATTTTCAATGCAGTGTTTGTATAAATAAAATCCTGGATTTATATTTCCAACGGCTATAGTGTTTTGTTAAGGCTGTGTAAATGGTAGCACCATGATTTTGCTGCATGACCTGTGCAGAAGTCACAGCAAGCCCTCAGTGTTTGTTCAGTTTATCCATCTTTGAGTAGAAGTCTGTCCATTTTGCTGCTGCATTTAATGTGGGCCTCCGATGTAAAACTTGCCCAGTGTTGTGCTACAGCTGCAGCATTGGTAGGAAGAGAAATCACACAGAATCACAGAATCACCCGGGTTGGAAGGGACCTCAAGGATCATGTAGTTCCAACCCCCCTGCCTAGCAGGGCCACCAAACGTACACATTCAGATCAGGTTGCCCAGGACCCCGTCCAACCTGGCCTTGAACACGTCCAAGGACGGGGCATCCACAACCTCCCTGGGCAGCCCGTTCCAGGGCCTAACCACTCTCCTTGTGAAGAACTTCCCCCTAACATCCAACCTAAATCTTTCCTCCTTCAACTTGGATCCATTTCCCCTAGTCCTGCTGTTGTCAGCCCTTCTGAAGAGTTTACTCCCCTCCTGGGTGTAGGTTCCCTTCAGGTATTGATAGGCTGCAATGAGGTCACCCCACAGCCTTCTCTTCTCCAGGCTGAACAAGCCCAACTCCCTCAGCCTGTCCTCATAGGGGAGGTGCTCCAGCCCCCTGATCATCTTAGTCGCCCTCCTCTGGACCCTTTCCAAGATCTCTATGTCTTTCTTGTACTGAGGGCTCCACACCTGGACACAGTACTCCAGGTGGGGCCTCACAAGAGCCGAGTAGAGAGGGACAATCACCTCCCTCTCCCTGCTGACCACCCCTCTCCTGATGGAGCCCAGGATCCCAGCAAGAGAAGCTGGAAGCAGCAAGAGAAGGCCCTACTTAGAACAGCGTACCCACTGTATCAGTCTTCACACTCATTTTTGCAATGAGGCAGTTAGGCTGGAACTCCTTGAGCTGCCTCCTCCCTGGTGGGCCTACTAATAATTTTTTTTTGCTCTCCTGTCTCCAGTGTCCTTATCTAAACTTTATTTCAGATTGCAGGAGCTTACCTGCATCCTGTGCTGATATGATGGTGCTGTAATGTAAAACTGAGACATAAAGCAAGAAGCAGTATGGTGATATAAATCTTAAAATTTATAGTACATTATATAGTACATGAATAACTTGAAGTTGTCTTACATCAGTACTGTTTTTTGTAGTGTATTTAAACTATTCCTTGCTGGATAATGCATTTAAAAAGCAACAGGAAAAAGTACAGTTCATAGTTGAAATGAAATACAGTATTCTGCATTCTTGGTTTAAATGTTAGTTACCTTATTAAAAACTTGTCTGTGTTCATCCAGTTAAATCAGTTACCAGGAAACTTCAACTAAATCCTATCAGCTATGCTTTATTTCTTTGCAAAATAGCACTGAAAACAGTTGTCTATTTTTCTGTAACTGCAGTGCCAGAAAGCTGAAGTAGAAGCTTCGGACTCACAGCAGAGTTCATTCTTCATTAATGCTAACGTAAGTCCCTGGGCTGTATGCACCAATAAACTGAAGCAGTTGATGGTGGCACTGCAGTAGGTAAATATCTCTCTGTTGGAGGCTGTTTTCATCACTGAGGTCGAATGGAAATACTGCGTTTGGTTCTATGCACAATGCTGACTTACCTAAGCAAAAAGAAATCAGTTCAGGCCTTAGGAGGCTTGGCAACCTTTGGCCAGTATTTTTAAGGAGTGGAGAGGAAAAAAAAAAATAAGCTGCCGTGCAGATCACTTAGTAGTTCATTTTGTGAGTTAGCACTTCTGTATTACATAGTGATTCTGTCACTGCCAAATTTGTGTGTGAACAAATGTGACATGATAATGAAAACCTTTCTTCAGGGAAAGAGTTCTGCCGAGGGTTTAACCCGGACCGATGCTATAGCAGCAGCAGTGTCTCCAGTGTGCAATCGTAAGGATAGAGGCTTGGTGCTGTTTGGGGCTTCACTATGGACAGTACTGAAGCACACCACTGGAAAGTCACCTGAAAGATCTCAGCTTTCACTTGAAATGAAATACCTCTGTTACTGCAACTGACTTAAGGTAAGTTTTTTCAAACTGACAAAACATGAAAACGATACACCCAAGCCTAAAGACTGCCTTACCGTATTTTAGGGTAAGAGATGACTCAAACAACAGGATGGCAATCAATGCGTCTTCCTCAAGGACTTTCTTCCTCAAACTCAGTTTAGTATGAGCTTTGGACAGTGAAATCCTAAGAGATGAATGTAAGCATGTCAGAATGGTTGAAAAAATTGCAGAAATGAAGACATTGCATATTTTTCCGTTGCAAGCATTTCTGTAAATCAAGAGGTAACCCTGTACTTCTTGCTTTAAAAATAAACTTATGTAAGAGAAAGCTATGAAAATGTAAACCCCATTTTTATTTTTCTAAACAGCTTTAATGGGAAAAAAAAAATTGAAGAAACATCGAGTCTAAGAAATAGTTCATTCTTTAAATAGTTCATTTTTTAAAACCAATCCTATAAGGTGGTATTCATTAATGTTAAGATACTCTTTATACTTGAACTCTTCCAAACTCAAACAATGTCTGCATTTTTACTTAATAAATTGAGCTGGTTAGCAGTTTCTATTGGAAACTGAGATAGATGTGTTGCGATGAGCATTGGACATACAGGATTTTTAGTGCAGGTGCTGATAATTTTGATCCACGCAAAGAATCTCTCCTCACTCTACGACTTGCAAGATAGTAGCCCTGAATGAGGTTTTCTGCTTCAGAACTCAGTTGGACATGAAGATTCTTTGCGAATGAAATAAACTAGAGAGAAGGTAAAAGAATTTTAAACATTTAACTGTGGGAAATAAATAATACACCTTTTTTTTCATACCTTTTAACATACTGGCGTAGTAAGAGAGGTAGAACAGTGTATTTCACCATCAATTTTTGTAAAAAGCTTGTCACTGTTCAGCTATGCATAAGGGTAGATTTTAGATACTGGGCTGAATTACCTGTTACAGAATTACAGGGATTTGAAGGAAGATGAACCTGCTAAAGCAGGTTCCCTATTGCAAGTTAACTGTATTAGAAATACTGACAGTTTCTTTAGAATGAAATATTAACTTTTTATAGAATCAGAGAATGGCTTGGGATGGAAGGGATCTCAAGGATCATGAAGCTTCAACCCCCCTGCCTAAAACAGGGCTGCCAGCCTCCAGATCTAATACTAGTTCAGTACTAACTAGTCAAGTATTTTACACTAAGTTTTATGACTGTAAATTGTTCTTGTTAAAAGCATAATGCATTGCTAAATTATTAGATAATAACTACCTCTTCATAATCCTGTGTTCTGAACTGCTGTGAGACTCTGTACAGCATGGCTTCAGGATTAATGGCTTTTTGCAAGACATGATGCACTACAGGAAAAGACAGCTGACACGAAGGAAATTCATTGTATATCAACAGCCCAAAAACATCTAAAAGATTAGGTGGAATCAAACTCAGGTCCTGAAGAGAAGTTCCAGAGAAGAAAACAAATTATTATGGAATTTTGACTATTAGAAACACTGCAATTTTTTCAGTCTGTAATATTCAGTATCCATATGCCAAAGGGTGCAAAAATAGCTAATGAGTTATCTATAATATAAGTAACACAATTGTTTCAGTAGTAGTTGTCAAAAGCTATTGTGAATAAAATAAATGGCATTTACTTTGGGGAAAGCTAGCTCATTTTAGAAGATACTTGATTTAAAGTCACTTAAGCTGTTTGTTTTCATTATTTCCCAAGCTGAAATAACAATAACCAGAAATAATTGTCAGTTGCTTTACCATCTGCCCAATTAAAAAGCTGTCCCTTGCTGTCTGTTTCTTTGGGGAAGAACCCACATCTACATAAGACCAGAAGTTGGTCTGAATTGAAATAGTCACTTGTTGGTCAGCCTCTTCTCCATACTTCTTCCCAGGAATGAACAGCGTTGTCGTCCTGCTCTCTAGCACTAGGAGAGGACAATAAACATCAGCGATGTGATTGATACAGTTTGACTATAAATCCTAGTTCCAAGCACAGTAGCCCAAAAGAGTCATTATTTTATTTCACTGAATTTGTCTTAAGTTTTGGCACTTCCACACCACCAGTTTTGAGGACTGAGTGTGTGAGTGCCTAAATCCGTTAAAGGCTAGATCACAAATCCTGCAAGCCTGATGAATGCGCTTCTCATTCCACCTCACTGTAGTGCTTGTTTTGCCAATAAATGGATCCCTCTGCTGGAGCCTGTATAGCAAATGGAAGCTTATAGATTTTGCCATTTTTAACCTCATTTCTTTCAGACTTGTTAAAAATAGCTGATATTTTCCAAGCATTTGAGGGCCATAAGGTGAGGAACAGACCTAGCTGAGGCGTTACATGTTTGTTTCATTCTGTCCCCTCATTTGTTAGTAGATATGAAATTACCGGATTGCAGGAGTTCGAGTTTATCCTTTTTGTATGCAGAGAAGTCTCCTATGTAACAGATACCACCCTGAGCCAGCAGAGCACTGCAAGCTTGAATACTAGCACTTCCAGTTCCATGTTTATCTTTGGACACAGCAGGAAAGATGTCACTAGAGGATGGGTGGCGTATGCCACGAGGCAGGAGACACAGGCTGTAATTCAGAAGCCTAGAGGATTAAATAATTGTCAGTGGTAAGCTGTCCAAACATTGCTCAGTTTTTCTAAATTAACTCTATTCTTAACATGTGGTAGTGATAGATATATCAAGATCTACCTTTAAACAACAACAAATTTAAACCACTGTCAAGACTACATGTGTGAAGTACACTTCAGTACAAATACAGAAATCTAAGCCCCAGGAGGACTGCATTTCTGATGGTTTTAACATGAGGCAAACCATGGCTTGTAACAGAAGTAATACCTAGGAAATCAAAGAAGTCCCCAAACGTAACCCCATACCATTAATGCCTACTCCTGTTCTAGGGGAAGGCAGAGGATTCTTAATTCTCTTGGCCATCGGGGGAAAAAAGAAGAGGCTGGTAACTTCTAGGCTGCAGCCACTGGGTTACATCCCCAATTCTTTTTGAGAAAGGAGAGTGCTCAATTTTTTATTTTTTTTTAACTCCCCTGCACTATATTCCTTGGCACACAGTTACACACTGCTTGGGCCCGCAGTCAAAGGCTCCATATGATTTTAAGATGTTAAAGCATGATTTCTTCTCATATTAAGAAATGGCATAAAATTATTGATTAAAATAGGTTAATGATAACAGAATACTGTGTGCATAGCATAAGCTGTGACCAAAAGCCTTCTGGAGCCAGCTGGCCATCATCAACTGTACTTCACCCCCACGTAAGCTTCTCTGAAGTAACTCTGCCCCAGGCAAGCCAGGACATAACTGAAAATTAAGGTAGCTGGGAAGCTAGCGATGGAAAGGCTTAAAGTGACAAAAGATGTGAGAAGCAGACAACTTCACTTTCATAATCACCAGCTTTTGGGGCAACCTTAGTTTTGATTTTAGAAAAAGGTTTAGTTTGACCTCTGCTAAACAGTGCCTGTCTTAAAAGCTTACAGAGATCATTATGAGACTGTTAGGGGTATTTATTAGCTGCAATCCTATATACATCATTTGAAACAGAGATGTTTCACGGTTATTGTTTAGCAAGTCAGAACCCTTTATATGCCTTTTAAGCCTCATCTCTTGCTTTTGATGTAGGGCCAATCCTATTGTCTTAAAACAATAAAAATAAAAAGAGTGAAGGAATCTCTTTACCTATCAATTATTAGAGTGTCACTTGTCACAATCAGTAGATCGAGGTAATCTGCATTTTCTATTTCACACGTCTGTACCAAACTCAGTAATATTGCCAATTTAAGAGTGTTGTAAGTGCCTGGTGGAACAACTTGAGAAGCAAAAATATTGGCAAGCGTGGCTGTAAACCTCCAGCATGAACTTGAGGTCAGTGAGAGTAGATACTTGAAATTTTCACCGATGAAAGAAGGACCTAAGTGAAACAAAATAGAGATTAACAAGCACTTAACAGAGCAGTGCAGGTACATTAGAATACATTGCCATTCGAGTCTTTATACAAAAGATTACAAAGAACAGATATTTATGCATTAAACACAAATTCAGAATGTAAACAGCAGCCAGCTATTAATTTTACTGCTCTAAAGGCCGCAGACACGATCTACTAAAACCAATGGGATAAGAAAGGAATAAGAAATAAAAATATTGGGTCAGTGTCACACATGATTCCCAAGCTTACAAGTGACAAGGGAAATTGGGAAAGGGAAGCTGAAGAACTGCAGTAAATAATTATGTCACTTCCCAATGCATGCAAAGAGAAGTGGGGGAGAGACGTTCTCAGCTGGCTGACTGAACCCATTCCCAGTTAGAGGAAAGTCCCACCGTGGTTTTGCAATCCAGGCTTCTAGATAACAAAAAGTTCTCAAGATTTTGCAGAAAAAAAAATGCTTTTCAAAATTTTAAGTCAATTCTAATTGGAACTTCCTTACCATTTGGTTTACAGAGCTCTACACTACTGACTTCTATAAATGCTGTAGCTTGTGGGCCATTTTGTACACAAGCTGGAATTCCTATGATCTTGTAGTGGTTTCCTATTGTCATTCTATTGGCCAGTTCATCTGGAAATGAAAAACAAAACGTGGGGGAGACCTGAAGATGTTTTAGCTAAGAAAAAAAAAAAGTGTTAAAGACACAGTCAGCTTTTCTAAACTGCTTTCATTTCTCACACGTAATTGCTGAAAACAACAGTTGGAATCCAGGTTTACCATTGTGGAGTAAGGAAGGAGAGTGGGTGAGGAGAAGTAAATTCCTGATAAAGAAAATGAATGATTCACTTGGTTCTGCACTGAAAAGAAAATGGACAGCTGTTTGCAAGTATATTCCAAAGCTTGTGGTTCCACCATTGTTAGTTACTGTCCTATAAACATGACAGGAAAAAAAAAAAAAACCACAAAAAAAGTGACCACATTACACATGACAAATTGCAAAGATTTCAAAAAGATACACACACAGCTTTGGGAAGCTCTGTAGTTCTGTGCACTTTATTCAGAAGTCACGTTTAGTTTTCAGAAGTGAGAGCTGTGTTCCAACCAAGTGTGAATCTCAGCCTGTAAGATCCTGTCTAACTGCACTGCTCACTGAAGCCAGGAGAATTTCAGTACTTGCACAATTCACAGCATCACACCAACATAACAGTACGTGCAGCGCTGCCGTTGTATCTCATCATCTTGGAGCTATTGTGAGTTTTCAAGAGATGAGCTGTATGATTCCATAGACACTGGGTATCAGATAACATTATTGGAAATATGGTGATGAATTGTGATTTAGTCGGGTACTCGCATTAGAAATCATTTAATGTTTCCAGTGGAAAGCAGTGGTAGTAGAAGCCAAAAATCCTGATTGAATCCGGAAACCAGCTAGATTGAGGAAGGATGTCAAAAACACATGAAATGGGTGCAAAACAGCAGGACCAAAGGAAGTAGAGAGGAGGAAAAAACAAGCTAGAATGTAATGCAGCAGAGCTGGCCAGGGGATCTTGCTTAAATGAAGACAGAAGTGAACACCACAGCTATATATTATTCTCTGCAATCATTTGTGCCTGCATTAGGCAGGTGACGACCCCTCTTCCTCTCCCCCCCTAATTTTTTTTAGAGAAAGAACCTCAATATAAATTATCATGACGTTCATCAGTTTATTCAGAGAAATGAACCTGTAAGGAAATGCAGATAATTGTCACAATTCGTTTCTAAAATATTTTTAGCAAGTCTTAGAATTGAAACTCAGCATACCTCTCAAGAAAACTGTAAAAGTCTGAATCCTAAAATGCGATTTATGGTCGGAATATCCTTTTAAAGCACGAAGAACTTTGGCATCAATCATTTCAACTATCTGTTTATCTTTCAGAAAAAAGGCAAGGAGAAGGTTATTTGTCCTGAAAACCAAGCTTTTTTCTTTTTTTTCTTTTTCTTCTCTCTAGGAGGCCAGGCTGGATGGGGCTTTGAGCAACCTGGACTAGAGGGAGGTGTCCCTGCCTAAAACAGGGGGGTTAGATCTACATGATCTTAAAGGTCTCTTCCAACCCAAACCATTCTATGATTCTAGGACGACTGCTATCTTTTGGGGCTGTTATCCCCACAGCCATTTTTGTTTATGTACTGTGTATCAGCAGTAGGGGAATAACAGACCCAGAAATAAAACTACACAGTTCCTACCACCAAGTACTCTGAATTTCATATCTTCCTGCAGTGGTGAAGAACACAAACTGCACACAAAGTCATTCCTCACTGTGGCAGATTCTGTAGCTCCAGGCAGATGCACCCTTATGTACCTAAACCCTGAAAAAGAAAAAAAAAAAAGTTTAGTAAACATTTATAATGAGAGCACGGTTTTCATTCTGCATTTCACGTTAAACACAGAAGTAACTAAAAACTGGGCAAGGAAATTCCGAATTCACAAGCGTGTTTCCCGAACATTGGCCGCCAGATGGCGCCGTGCCCCCATCGCACATTCCGCACCGCGACTGCAGGGCCTGACTCCCAGCAGCGGAGTGCCGCTATTCTGCGTCGTGTGGGAATGACACCGGACAGACACGTGCTGTATATACGCGCCTTCACAAAGACACGCGCTCATAAAGACTGCGTAGGAAAAGGACTCTCACGATAGGTTTTCAATTTGGTGAGTTATCTAAATTATTAAAGAGCTCTTCAGACACTGAACGGGCTGCCCGGGGAGGTGGTGGAGTCACCGTGCCTGGAGGTGTTTAAGAAACATTCAGATGTTGTACTGAGGGACGTGGCTGAGTGGGGAGATGTTGGTGGCAGGTGGATGGTTGGACTGTACGATCTTGGAGGTCTTTTCCAACCTTGGTGACACTACAGTTCTATGAAATAATATTAATTTCTTCTACTACTACCTTCAGAGAATGGACAGGTTTCCCCAGTGCAAAGAAATCTTGCTCCTTGAGTGTATTTTGTGACAGTTCCCATTGCAATCACTATTCCTTCAGACATATAAAATCTCTTAGATGTGTAATTAAATGGAAATGCAGAAAGACTGAGAACATAACTCGGTAATGGTGGTAAATGTGTTGGTTTCAGCAGTATGCTTATCTAACAAGAGACACGATGACATTGAAATAAAAATATTTAGATTAAATATATTAAAATGCTGTTCATAAATTCAATGTACTTACATGAAGAAATGCAACATGGTGTATAAATAGCTTTTAGGAAAAGAAAAAGAAACGTATCAAGTGGAAAAACAATCATTTATGCCAGGATTCTTGCAATATGTTGAGGTGAGACTTGCACTTTGTACAAAGGATAATACAACCAAAGGGAATATAAAGGCTGAAAAATTAATACAAAAAATAATCTTTGCTAATACTTCACCAGACTTAAAAGATTTAAGATCTAACTGGGGAAACAGTGTAGACTCACTTGGGCCTCCGTCTGTAACTGTTCAATTAATGATAATGTCTTAATAGCTATGAAACATACCTGTAATTGAAAAATAACTTCACTTTAGAAAGGAAAATCTAGTTAAAATAGAAAAGGATTATTCTTTGTCAGCCCTGACCACAACTATAAACTTACTGACTGAAAAATCCCTGCAGCTTTCATGGGCCTATGAAGAATGTAGTTTCCAAGAGTTGCATCCAATTCAGCAACATCAGAAGGGTTTATTGAAATAACGAAACGATACACAGCATAACTTTGTTTTGAGTCTGCAGGAGCAAAAACGGTCTTAAATATTACAGAGGTTTGCTTAACAATACTTACCAATGTTAACAAAATACTGAGTGAGCAATACCGTTGTATTTTTTGCAATCGTGCACAAATTTCTCAAGGCCACCACTTCGGTCAAGGTAAATAAGGATAATTTCCTTCATTTTCTGTATCTCTTTGTGCATCTTCCAAAAAGATCTTTGGACTCTTAATGAGAATTCTGGAATAAGCTGGAAAGAATTAGTTCAGAATTGGCCGTGCTACAATAACAATGAATTCCTAAAATGCTTACTATTCCTCTTATTACTGAATTATTGCACCACCCAACCCCTGACCCATCAAAATTAAAGGCAGCATTTAGCCCCTCCTCTCCTTACCTCCCCCCAGTCATTGGAGCTAAAGTGAGACATATATAGAGAGCTATGAAGGCTGTCACAGTTGTTGAAAACATGAAACGGAGGAATCATTTATTTCTTAAATTACATTTTCCTTGTTTGCTGTCACCTCCTGTAGCATCCATTTAAGGTGTAGATCTTGCAAACATCAGAATGCACAGGTGATCAATTCTTATTCCTGTAGATAAAACTTTCAAGACCACAGAGTTGGTCTAGAAGGTGACCATACTCTTCAGCGTTGTTTTTATTGCATACTGTTCACGTATTTTCAGAGCATTTTCAGAGTAAATCTCAGAACTTCTCTTATGAACTTAGAGGGAGAACTACTAAGGCCAAAATGTGGCACTTTGTATACACACATCTGATGTCTCTGTTTGTTGCAAGGGAGCTGGACTGGATGACCTTTAGAGGCCCTTTCTAAACTCTAAGGATTCTTTGATTCTATGATCTTTCAATGTTCACACAGACTTTATTTTACAAATTATCATCTCTCTTTTCTAAAGGTAACCGATATGAAACACCTGGCATAGGACAAAACACAGCATTAAGAGGCTGAAGAGAAACTAAAGCTCTTCATTTACGAACGATTCATGGCGGGAGGTCACAGAAGTCGGTTTGGAGGGCAGTCAGATGTGGAGAGAACAGGGTACCTGAGGTGCACCTGTATGGCAGCAGCAGAGAACTTCTTGTCAGTTGTATGCTGTGGGTGGGCTGGAAGATGCGTCCTACTGGCCCGAAGCATCACATTTTATGCACAAATTGAAGGAGAACTTACATTAGGATTTATTTTTCAGTTTCTTTAGGATGAATCCCATGCAACTACCGTTCCACCCCTTCAAACCTTTTACAAGAAGAGATTAAAGTCCAGCTGAAACCACAGCCTCTCCTTTCCCCCACCGCCCTGAGGTCACTCTGCGCCGTGCTCTGCGGCCGCAAAGCAGAGACACGCAGCACAGCGAGGACAGCCTGAGGACAGCCCGCACCACGGCCCCGGCGTTCTCCACACGCCGCCGCTCCCTGAGTTTCACAGAGCCAAGCGCGGCCTCTCACAAACCACCGCATCCCCCACGGTCGCACTCCGCTGCCTCACGGCACCGCGCCTAACACCTCCATCGCTCCCAGCTGCCTCATCATCGCTACCACCCTTCCTCTCAGCCCAGGGCTTCCCTTCGCCACGCGCCAAAGCTTTTGCCGCTCTCGCCGCCCGCTGGCGGGCTCGGGCAGTTCGGCGGCAGCACCAGGCGGCCCCTCAGGAGCCCCGCCGCTTCATGAGGGGAAACGCGGCGCCGCGCGGTCAGTCCTAACGCTCCTCCATCAGTCACAGACGGCACCTCCCCTTCTCAAGAACCCGCCGCAACGGGAAGGGAATGCCACCGCGGTTCCCACGTAGGCTCTCCTGCCTCGGATTTACCACCACCATTTGAGATTTTACTTCTCAACTCAGGGTTTGTGAAGGGCCCGCCCCACTTTCACCATCTTACTATGAGAAGTATCGTCACGAAATGCAAAGACAAGCGGAACAAGAGCGCTGATCTATGGAAGTATGGAAGGGTCTGCTGCTCCGCCTTTGGCGGTCCTGATCTGACTGGGGCACTTCACGACATGGAAGAGAATGGAAGGAATAACAGAGCAGAGCATTCCCCGTGAAAAGGAACACATTCACACCAAAAAGCCGTAAGGAAGAAACCCCAATAAAGAGGGGAGAGACGAGAGCCCACACGTGGTCAGGAAGCTAGTTACAGCCATTTCTGAAAGGACAGAAAATGAAAGGGTGCAGAATATACCATACTGCAACAATTTCTGCCTTCTAGCCCATTAGAAAGACGTACTTTGCTGCCAAATGATTACAACTGCAATTCATGTAAGTCACTGGCTGTCCTGAACAGCTGTGTAGCTGTTTCAAACTTCTCAAAACTTCACTGTGAAAGGACAGGAAATGAGCACAGAGCCACCAGTCCCCTCCCACAAACGACACAGTTCCTTCCTTCTTCCCATGCCAGCGTTAATTCCTACTTGCTTTACTCAGCGACTCCTTCCCACACCTCACACAGCAGCTACTCAGCATTACTTAGGCATTACGTGAAAGAATGAAAAAAAAGCAAACAATCCTGGTTTAGCTTCTACTTGTCTAATGCTTTGCTGCTGACATCATTAATTTCAAGAATAATTACAATTTTGCTGACAGGTTGATAGTTCCCTGGGTCATCCTGTTTACCGTTCTTAAGAAGGCAATGCTACACTGCCTTTTTTTTCCAGTCACCAAGGACTTCACCTGACCACCATGACTTCTCACATATCATTGAGAGCAGCTCAGTGATATCAGCCAGCTCCCTCAGGACTCTGGCTGCTTACTGTGCCCTATCAGACTTCCCTCAAACCAAGGCTTTCAACTGAATGTATTTATGAATAACAAAACCAAGCCAAAACACCAAACACACCACAGAATGATTATGAAGGAACAGACAAAAATAAGTTGTTATTTACAGGTGATATACATAATAATACTACTACCTGCCATGATAAGCTTTTACGCACTAACAGCAGTTTTTGCATTGTTAAAAGTTTTCCTTACACAGAAGTCGATCAGAACGATCAGTTTCTCCATACACATGTATGTTATCAGAAATACATTAACTTTTCACATTTCTAAAATTATAAGCACAATTTACCTTTTTTTTTTTTCCCCCTCAAATGTCAAGTGAAGATTTAAAAATGGGACACAAAGACAAGTAGCTATGCATGTTGAAATACCAGTGATTTGGAACATATTGGTGCTTCCAAATATAAATCAGTGAGAAAAGTATTAAATGTTTGGCGTGATCCCCTCACCATCACCACAGGAAGGTTAAAGTAAGATAGCCTTTCAAAGGAGCACTGATTATTGCGTATTATATCTTTGGAAAAGCAGAGTTTTAATCAAAAATATTTTTAATGCAGTTGAAATACAGACACATTTATCCCAAGGAGGAAAAAAGGTAGAATTCGTGATCAGTGAAGTTAACAAATGAATGGCTAATTTGTTCCATCCTTGCTTTGAGTAATCCTGCATACTGCAAATAATCCAGTTCAGAGATGCAGGTACTCCAGCAGACACAAAAGTGGCAATCTAGTTTTACATACCCGATTTTTCATTCTACGTAAATCCTCCAAGCATCTCAGTCTTAAGTTAAATCTTCATTTAAGTGCAGACAGGTTAACAAAGTTCATACCAATATAACAGGGAAAAAAACATTTACCTTTTTTAAACCAGGATATACAAAAGATAATTTGCATAGTTACAATTCAAGCACAAAGTCACTGTAAATAGGTACAAAGGCATTTATAAATTCATTAATACGCTGCTGCTTGTGCGGCATTATCTTAGATATGTACGAATGTAAACCTGAAGGGACTGATGGGAACAGTCAGTGTTTTTGCTTAAAAAAATACGTTAATGTAGAGAATGTTACTTAACGTTTTTTAAAAAATATTTTCTGCAGCAGGAATAAACAGTTCAAATCCCAAAGAAAGCCATCCGAAAATGCCCAAATTCCTTCTATACAGCAGAGAACGTTTCTTCATAGGTTACAAATCTATATACAAAATGAGGCACTAGTTACACTAATTTGGAATGTGTTCTTAATGTTTCAGTTCATCCCAAGACTCCCAAAACAGCGTTGGCTTCTAACTTCCTAGGAAAACATATCTTCAGAAGGTGGCGCGTAAGAAAACCCAACAAACGCATCGTCTGCTTCTAGGACACTGGCATTAACAATGCTGTAATCAGAAGAGATGCAAACTGAATATGGGACCATTTCTTCTGTAAACACCGCATCAAAATTCCCAATATCATCCGGGCCAACCTAGAAAACAGAAGATCTATCATTTCTCACATTAATTCTGTATTTTTTAAATTGTACTATTCTTTCCTATTTAAGTATATAAAGCCTAAGGAAAACCACCACAGCATCCCTGAAAGCATTTATTAGAAGCCTGCTAGTTTTTTTCTGGGCCAGGGATCAGGCCAAGAGCTACACAACATTTATGACACAATAAACGTAAGAAATAGTAAGAAATATTTTCTTTCTTAATTGACTGTTAGAGAAAAAAAAAAATGAAATAAAAACTGTATAACTACGTACAGTTATCTTTCTCCCTTTTCCATCAATAATATAAAACTGTTACATTCCAGCATCAACAGTAGCTACTATAGAGTCACATCTGCAGTAAGGGACCTAACAACTAAAGCACAGTAACATTCAGTTACAGAGAGAAGAAACAAGACAGCAAAGGTTTCTTCATCAAGCAGATGTAAACCACTAGGAAGATGAACAGGAGTAGGGCTGCAACTAAGGCTTATAAAAATAGTCTTCGTAATTTGAAAGAGGCTTATTTAAAAGAAGCTGTAAATTCTTTGGTCTTCAGACACCATAAAAAACTGTGAGCTCTTTGATGGGAAAAAAAGCAGAGGAAACAGTGATGTGTCAAAGTGAGTTTTTAGTCAAAAAGGCAGCATTGCTGCTCAGAAATGTCACTGCTCCAAAGCGCAGTCAGCACTAGGAGGTTCCCATCCACTCTGATACACGCGTATTCTTTCCAAATAGAGGAGCCTGCACAGGCACAAATTTGGTAGCTAGGAACTAAAACAGCACCTACCACGTTAGGATTAAATGGTGGTGGAATCTTCTTCTGTAGTAGGTCAGTCCAGCTGAGAGATTCAAAGAATGGGTGCTTTTGAATTTCAAGCTGCAGTAAAGAATAGAAATCACAGATGTTTCAGAAATCCATCCCATGCATCACAGTAAATGCACAAACAAAACCTAAAGAGGTCAAGTTCTGCATTTACAGTTTATTTTTCAATAAAAGCTGTAGCTGGCAAAAAGAGAATTAAAATTAGCCTGCCTCTACAAACTAGTTTCCTTTTAAAAGCCTGTTTGCTGCTTTTAAGGCTTAAAAATCAATCACAAGGTGGAGCACCTCTCCCACAAAGATAAGCTGTTCAGCTTGGAGAAGGCCCTGGAGAGTCCTCATTGTGGCCTTCTAGTATTTGGGGAGGAGACTTATTAACAGAAGGGGGAACTACTTTTTACACTGTCTGATAGTGTACAAAAAGATGATAGGGACAAAAAGAAATGGCTTTGAAATAAAAGAGAGGAGATTTAGGTTGGATGTTAGCAGGAAACTTTTACTCAGCGAGCAATGAGGTGCTGGAACAGGTTGCCCAGGCAACTTACGGATGCATCATCTCTTGAGGTGCTCAAGGGCAGACTAGATGGAGCCCTGGGCAGCCCGGTCCAGTGGCTGGCAACCCTGCCCACGACATTGGAACTGGATGGTCTTTAATGTCCCTCTGAACCTAAGCCGTTCTATGATGAGGTCAACACACTACCTAACATTAAGGCTGCAATCAGAAGACTCACGATCCATGGATGGAAGCACATCTAGTGCTTTCACAAGTCTTTCTAGATTATTCCTCACTGTACATTTCTGAAGTCGTCTGTGCTTCCTAGCAACATCTTTTTGCAAGTAAAACAAAATAAAATTCACGGCTGTACTGGGAAAACATTTACTATGATTTTAAGTCTGAGGAAAAAAAAAAGAAAAAGCTGCTACTTGTACAGTACTGTTCTATTCTGTGTTTGAGGAACACCTTTTTATGTAGTCAGGTAAACTGATATTACCAGAAAATCACCTTTTTGTTTGATTATTTCCTAGATTAACTAACTAACCAACCTTAGCAATTACTATGCCGGGAATTGTTTCCCTGCTGACTGGTTTGACACCAACCAAGCTAAAAATACTGTATCCCACAACAATTACCCCCTTCCTATTCCAAACATCTTTCAGGACTTGATGACCAAAACTGATATTTTTAAAGAAGAAAAAAGAAAAAAAACCAAACAGGGACAGATACATGGAAATGCATTTTCTGTCTCCTGCTATTAAACTTGTATGATGCACTCAGATTTATTCGTGCCTATTTAAATGAAGAAGAGCTTGATAAATTAGGAGATTACATACAAAATCTTCCCTTGCTCCAAGTCTGCTTTGCCGATCTTTCTCCAAAAGTTCCTCCAGAATGGACCAGGCTGTGAGACTGATTCCTGGACGCAAGACCAGGGGCTTGTGAAGAATATTCTCATACATCTCAGCAACGTCACGGCAGTAAAAAGGAGGCTAAAAAACCCAAATGTTACGCATTAATCCAAAGCTACATCAGCATTTTGTTTCACATGCATGGACCAACAACCAAATCTGTAAGAAGCAAACTACTAAGAGTGAAGGAAGAAACCTTAAGACACAGCTAACTTCTAATTCAGTCATTCACACAGCCAGCTCTCCATGCTTGATATCTTCCCCCTGCCACCTCCTCTTTCCATAACATGTTCTCACACTCACAGGTAACGTAACTGCAGATGCCACCAAGATTCAAAGCTCCCACTGTGCTTGCCTGGAAAGAATGAGAGTGGGAAAAGAAATCTATTTCCCTACTTAATATCCAGATGCATATAACACTAGAAAGAAAGGTAACAGAACAGATTATTATTAGAGTGATTACAGATGACGGAATTAGTATAGTAAGATTTTTTTTCTTTTAATATTGTATCAAGAAGCAGAAGAACTAGGAGAAATCCTGGAAGACCCAAGCCAAAATACATGTTTTAATTTATTGGGTGCTATTGCTGTTGATTCTATTTACTTCAACATCTCTCTAGTTATCACTGTTTGTCTTTAGCCGACGTCCAGAAGTTCAGTGGAAAGCAGAAGTTTAGACATTGAGAGGCAATGCCAAATCCCAAAGAGAAAAAGAGATGCTATGTTAAAACAAATCATTCATCCACTGAAGTAGAGTACTTCAATGCTCTACAAAAAGTTAGCATCCTTAATGGCACTTTCCCACCTATATTAAATACATACCAGTCCATAAAGCATTTCATAAAGAACTGCACCAAGGCACCACCAGTCTACTGTGTTGTCATAGGGCTGCTTTTTAATAACTTCTGGTGCGAGATACTAAAAACGAAATAAAAAAAAAAGCAGTGCATTAGGATAGCAATGATAAAATCTGGGTTTTTAGGTTTTAGTCATAGTTTCAGAAGAAATCTAACTCACTAACACCATAGTACAAGCAAAGGCATTTCACAGTACAAGGCTATTTGTTGTGGACATGTAGTATAGAATTACTGTGGCTGGATCCTTGTCATCTCAGTCGCCCCTGCACAGCGCACACACGGTTTCTAAAGCCTTCTCTCAGAACACAAGATTGCTCACTGGTATCCACCTTCTGACATTTAATGTACAAAATAGATCTATTTGTTAATGGACAAGGCAGGTACCATT